AGGACCCTCAAGCTCCCAGGCCTCTGGTAGAGGACCCGAGCTTGAAGGATAAACCGCCCGCAGGGGCGTGCTGGGTACCAGTTATTTAACCTAAAAACAATTACAGACCTAGATAATGGAATTTTAATATAAACCTTCAAAACATGTCTAAAAGCACTCTTACCTTAAGCTATGTTTCTTTCCTCTTGAAATTTTTATAGCAAATCTCTGATGTTCAAGTGGAATGGCCTTTAATCCATCCATTCTCTTCCACTTATCCTTATCAGGGTTGCGGGGGGACTGGGATCTAACACAGGGCTGAAATGTTATAAAGCCAGAAGAAAAAATGGAGATTGATTCATTCAGTCTTCATCCAACTACTGGTCCCAGTGAGATTTCCTGAATCCTTGTTGTTGAATTACACTTAGTCTAGCCCCTCACCAATTTGTCTTTGGAGAGCCTATCAGGCACAAATTGCCTCTGAAGACATAGGTCCTAGGATCACTTTGGCACCTAAATCACTTTAACATAATAAGACAGTTACTCATAGCGGAGGGATGTTTACATTCAAGTGATAAAGTACTTTAGTGATAACTGAATAGCAGAGTTACAGGTCAACAGAGAGGGCTTAGTATTCTTTTCATTTCCTATTACCAGTAGACACCTTTTACTCTGACAAAATACTTTACCTCAAAATGTAAATGTTTATCTCATGGCTGCTGGCAGTGACCTGTGTCTGTACAGAGTAATTAACTTTTTAAGGTGCTCTGAGTGTTTGAAAGCCTAGAAAAGCAATGACAATCTAACACTTCAGCCAGTTTAATTACAAAAATTCATAAAAAAAAACAAAAAACAAACTACTTCACATAGGAAACAGGTGTGAGTGAAAGAGAAAGACAGAAAAACAGATAGATTTTTTGTAACCCACTAGAAATAAGTGATTAAAATGTAGCCATTTTAACTACTGTGTAATTTTCAAATTCCTCCCTACTGTATCTATAAATACACTCTCTACCTTTCTAACTTTCCAGATTCCACCAGGCTTACTTTGGACCACAGTCCATCCAGTAGTGCAGGATCTTCCTCCTCTCATTCTCCCTTACCCCACAAGTCACCTTTGTTGCCAGGGGCTAGACGGTGAGTCTGCATGCCTTCACTGCCCAACCCTGTAACCAAACACACCCAGAAAACAAACAATCACATAACAATGCTTGCTTGAACATTGTACACTGCTTTATAATTAACACCTGGCACTCTTAGTGGCTTATCATATCTGTGATAAGCACACAAGTCTCTGTGAAAGTTAAGTCTTTGTTCTTCTCGTGGTTCTAGGTCGTTAATCAAGAGTTTTCTGTTTTGACTTTTGAATCGTGTTAATTCATTATTGTTTTGATTGAAGAAGTGGGATTTGTTTCTAGATTCTATTAATTATCTTTGCACTTATGAGTTTTCCTATCTCTGTTTGTTTCCAATTGTATTATTTTATGTAACTGATATAGTCATAAATTACTTTAGGTTTGTTAGTTCCCTTCTGGTCTCTTAGTTTCATCTCTGTGTTTTGCCTTTATTATCTCCCATGTTCAGCCGGTCTTGTCTTGTGTCTGTTTACTCTTTTGTGTGTGTCAAGCTCAGGTGTCTTAGTCTTGGTATTAGTTCCTGTTTTATTTTGATAGTTCCTTGCCTCATGTGCTTTATGTTCAGTTTTACTTTTCCCAATTTCTTTACCCTGATTAGCTTCAGCTCTGTTCCCTGGTATTTCCCCATCTCCCTAATTAGTCTCCTGTATATATTCTCTGTTTCCCTCTGTCCTTTGTCAGAGCACTTGCCCTTTTTTTGTCTTCAAGTTCCTGAGTGCTTGTTTTTTAGTGGTCTTCCCCAGTGTAGGTTTTCTGTTGACAGAAGAGTTAAAAAATAAGAGACAAAAATACCCATCAAGTCAACCAAATTTATAATATTTGAAATTACTAATAAGAACAAAGGATTCATGTGGTGAAAGGTGTAAGATAATCTGATTAAGTATGTCTAAAGTGGTGCATTTTAAGAAAAGATTTGAAAATGCAAAGATGTTAAACTGACTGGATCTTATATACCCCTTTTCTAATGAGCTCTGAGCTCTACCTGAGCACTCATTGTGCTTTATACAATTTGCCTCATTCATCCATTCATATAGAGAGCAACTTGGGATTAGTATCTTGCCTAGTGATATTTGCCATGCTGGAGCATCTAGGGGTCAAATCACCAACCTTCTGATTAGTAGATTACCTGCCAGATATGCTGGCTTGACCTAAAAAGTCACATTTGACTTTTTAGTCACATTTGACATTTGACAACCATACATATGGCAGTAAAAAGGCCTGTATTGTAACTTGCGTCTAAAGGGTCACCCTCGCTGCCCCACAGCGCTGCGCTAAATCATCAGAGGGGTCATGCAGGGGCAAGAGGGCATCCTTTTTCATCGGCTACCTCTGTCCAACCTACCTGAGGGTTGCTGACGTGTACCATTGACTCTGGCTTCCAAGGAATCATCTCCTCAGCCATTGGCAAGCTCTAGCTAAACCATGGGATTAGTCACGTTTACAAAACATTGTTTGAGGCTGGACCAGCCAAAATACCAGACAAGTAGATGTGGCAAAAGTAAAGGTACTGTTAAAAAATACTTTGGTAAAAATTGAAGTTCTGATTCAATTTCTTTACTTAAGTAAAACTGAAAAAAAAAAGTTTCTGAAATGTACTCAAAGAAAATAAAAAATAGCTCTTCAGAGGACATTTTAACAAGCTATTTTTATGCAAAGTTAACTGAACATTGCAATATATTATTATAATAAACTATATGTACATGGGAATACAAACTTTGTTTCGGTGTAAATTTTATTTCTAATAAATGCACTCAGCTTGAATTAGATATATAGCAGAGGAAAAGAAGGAGAATCTTTAAAAAACAGCTTTATTTTCTGTCTAACACATTGTAGATGGTGACTTTGCCTCCACACCTAAACAGAAACATGAGTACATTCCGGGGTTAAATTGGGATTCAGCAGGTGGGAGAATCCTAAAATCGGTTGTAGCAGCTCAGGGTGGGGAAAAAAATCACAACTCACAATAATTTCTTTTGTGGGCTCCATTGGATTTTCAGTGTATTGGCTGTGATCAGCTGACCATTCAGCAAGATGTGAGCACATTTATGAGCAGTCTTCACTAATTTCCCTCCCCTACATTGACAGCATACTGTTTATACTGTATTAATAGTAGGTGGTATAACTTTGGTATGAAGGGGAAACTCAGTGAATGAATCTTAGCATCATCAGCTTAAACTTAATTCTCAATTTTAATAATTCTTGATGCATTTTCTTTTGGTTTGTTATTTTGCTTTGATTCTTTGTAAGGAGCTTGGAAAGTAAAGGACTTCTTTAAATTTCTTGAAGACGTTTCACCTCTCATCCGGCAAGCTTCTTTAGTTCCAAAACTAAAGTGTCCCAGTCCCATCTGTACTCTCCTTAGATTACCATAACCTGGATGACTGAGAACCTACACAGATACTCTGATTCTTTGTTTAACGCACAGCTCTGTAACACTTAGTTGTCACCGTGTAAACGTGAGCGTTTCACCTACATTTGTGACTAAAAATGGACCTGCAATATAAACATGTATAAGACGAACGTGAATAAAAAGTAAAATAATCTAAGGATCTTGAAAAGAAAGCAACTGGTCCTTTTGAAGTTTCTTCACAAAACTTAAAGAAATGACATGACATGTCATTTACATCATGGAGCCTTGCTCTTAAAAAACTGACAGAGATGTAACACTGTCTGTGAAGCTGGATTTAAGAAATAAGTGCTTAAAGTTAAAGTTTTAAAAACATGTTTAGTGCCATCTTCTGTCAATAAGTGATGTCATGTGCTTGGTTGGTTGGCTAATAGACTTAAATTAATTTATGCAAGCTAGTTAAGGAGAAAATTGATAACTCAGAAGAAAATAAGGACACTAACAAAGATTTTTATGATAAGAAAACAAGTGTCCACTTTCACTTTACTGGCTGTTGAAGACACTCTGTATTTTGCTGTGGTTTCTGACGCACAACAAATAAGTCAAACTTTCTTTGTTGCCTAGTCTTAGACTTCTCATGCTGTGCTAAACGAGCCTTCTCCATGAATTCAAACACCTTTTTAAGAGTATCCTCATCTAGAAGCATAGAAAGTCTCGGATCTGCTCTTCTTTAGCACTTCTTTGGTAAAATTTGTTTGTCTCACCTGTTCATTGAGCAGCTGGTGCTGTGCCTTCTGGAGGATTTTTGTTGCCTGGAAGTCCTTAACTGAAGAGTTCATTTGCAGACTTTTAGAAGTAATCCTGTTTTGTCTTCATCTGAGGCTGAATCTCAGGTGGTTCCTGCAATTAGCCATCTTATGTGCTGTTTGCCCATACTGATGTACAAGCTTTAGGCAGTCCTTGCCAAAGTGGGTTAAAATTGTATGTAGTTCACATACATGGGTCAGTACTGCAGACAGAAACATGGGTGTGCCATGGATTCCCCAATCTCACCCACTGTGGCCAACTTGTACATGGAAGAAGTGAAAAAGAGGGCTTTGTTATCTTACCCTGGAACACCACCAAGTCATTGGTTCAGGTATGTAATGGCACCTGGGTGAAAATCTAATCTCAGGACCTACCACAATTCACTGATCACATTAACTCAGTGGACCAACACATAAAATTCACCAGGGAGAATATGAAAAGTGCCAGGTTACCCTTCTTAGACTGTGAGATTTCCATCTGTAATGGGGGACATTTAAAAGTTGATGTGTACCATAAACCTACGCATGCGGATTAGTATTTAACGTTCGACTCTCATCATCCACTGGAGCATGCACACCATCCCCACAGACACAGTGGCCAGGGAAGCAGAAGAACGTCACATCAGGAAGGCCCTGAAAATATGTGGTTATCCCAGCTGGACTTTTGTTGAAGCTGGGAAGGCGCATAAAGAAAGCTCCAGTCGATCCAGGGGAGGACAACCACTGCCTAAGCGGGAAAAAAAACCCTGGTGATGCCATATGTGTCAGGAGTATCAGAACAGTTGAGATGCATTTATCCCTCTGTGGCGTTTAAACCCCAAAACACGCTGCACCAAGAATTGGTCCACCCCAAGGATCGGGTCCCCCAACACAAACAGAGTAATATAGCGTACGCTGTTAAGTGCCATGATTTATGTATCGGGGAAACCAAGCAACCTTCGGATGGCACAACACAGAAGAGCTACCTACCAACTCTGCAGTCTATTTGCACCTACAGGCCAGCGGGCAGTCTTTCAATGATGAGGATGTACAAATCCTGGAGAGGGAGGAACGCTGGTTTGAGCGTCGAGTCAAGGAGGCCAAAGGGAAAGACCATCTCTGAATCGAGGAGGTGGCTTAAGGGTACATCTTTCACCATCTTACAATGCTGTGATTGCAGCCATTTCCCAACCCTCTGTGAATGGTAGTCATGGCCATTGATCAGTGGTCTTTGATCAGTAGTTGTTGATCAATGGTCATGATAATTTGCATATTAATGATCAAGGAACTGATCTCATTCAGTGGTCCTAGTTTCAGTCATTGGGCACTTCTCATCTTTCAACATTGTCAGAATATGTCTTTTTCCCCTTTTCAATTCAGTTGTTTTAACTAAACTGTGAAACTTTATTTGTTATTTTTTACTGTAGATGAAGTGCAAAAGGGTGTAACTATTGCAGTGTGTACTTTGCATTAGATGGAGGAGTTGTACAAGGAGGCATAGGCAGGAATGATTTCCTGTGTCATTCAGTGGTGCATTTGGGTAATCTCAGTCTCACACTGAACTCCTTTGACTGGTCAGCACGTAATGGAGTGGTTGGTCCAGCATTGTACTTATCTTGGACATCATCTGCCTCTCCAACAGCACCTTAAGGGAGTCCATCTCCATCCCCACAACATTACCAGCCTTGCGGATCAGTTTATTGAGTCTCTTCGCATCTGCGACCCTTAACCTGATGTCCCAGTGTGGAACAGCATAGAGGACAGCACTGGCCACAACAGACTAATAGAAAATCCTGAGCATTGTCCAATGTCAAAGATGTCTCAGCTGCCTTAGAAAATAGACAGAACTCTGTCCCTTCCTGTATAGTGCAGTGGTATTTTTTTTTAACCCAGTCCAGTTTATTATCTATGTGTACTCCGAGGTATTTATGGTCCTCTACAATATCGACCCCCTGGATTGAAACAGGGGTCACAGGTTCCTGGTCCTCCTAAAGTCCACGATCAGTTCTTTGGTCTTTGTCACGTTGAGCTACAAATGATTCTGCTCACACCACGTTACAAAGGAGCCAACCACAGCCCGGTACTCTGTCTCATCACCCTCTCTGATGCATTCAGTCACTGCAGAGTCATCAGAAAACGTCTGAAAATGGCAGTGGCTGAAGTATGTGGTGTAGCGGGTGAAGAGGAAAGGGGAGAGCAGCAGTATATTAATGACTAACCTCGTATTGTGGATGGATTATCTCTGTGGTTCTCCTGACTGAAGTTTGCCATGCGATTGCATTTGCTCCTAATCATTGGGAACCCTCACATTAACTTTTATCGAGTGGAAAAAAGTCCTCTGCTCGTTAGCGTTCGTCCTCCAGCTTTACTGTTTATGTTATGCTAGCATAGCTTTTTCGCGCTAGTGATCACATAGCACATCATTATATACCAACTAGCCCAACTTCAGTAACCCTACAAACGTTGCTGCTGTTTACTTTCCTGTCTTCATTTATGTTGGAAGTGATAGTAGAGCTGTATGTTTTAATTTGTTTTATAAATCCCTCATTGTATATTATATTTAGAGGGAAGCTAGCAAGCGAACTCCCTGCTAACTTCTAACTCTGTTAAATGTCATAAATTCCGTTTTCATGGATGCCTGGATGTTAAACTTAATTGTTACACCTGATAGAGCAGAACGTTGATCATTTTATTACAGATGAAAGAATTTAGACAGTTTTTAACTCTCAGTAATGCTGCAGTGTTCGTTTGACTTATGGACCTGCAGCGGAGTTTGGGCCCAGACATGACTAATGACATCAGACTTACAGACCGGATAGGTCGGGGCTGGTCAAGGATAAGTCTTTCCAGGGTCTTCATGATGTGGGAAGTCAGTGCCACAGGTCTCTAACCATGGGGGGGCACTGGGACATGGCGTTTTTGGTACAGAAATAAGGGATGATGTCTTCCACAACACTGGACCCTCTGCGGACTTAGACTCATCATGAACAGTTTATGAAAGATTCCACAAAGCTGGAGGGCACAGGGACTCACCCTGTCTGGTCCAGCAGACTTGCCCGAGTGGAGTCTTCTCATTTTTCTCTGAACCTGGTCATGAGTGAAAGTGACAGGTGGGGGAGGGGTGTCAGGACTTTCACAGGAGGCTATGGTGGAATGTGGAGACAGAGGGAGAGTGGATTGCAGGCTGACTACAGGTCAGGTCAGAGGGGTGAGCATTTACCTCAGTTTTGAAACTGCTAAAAAACACATTCAGCTCATTGGCTTTGTCCTCACTGCCCCAGCTTCTTTGCTGTTGGATGACCTGGATGCAGTGATTGTCGTCATGCTACTCCACACCTCTGTCATGCTATTCTGCTGGAGTTTCCACTCCAGCTTTCTCCAGTAATCGTCCTTAGCCTCTCTCATCTTGCCCTTCAATAATGCCTGAACCATTCTCACCTCGCTAATTAATTAACAATACGTTGACCAAGTTAATCCAAGTCTTTCTCCAAGTTTCTTCACTTACATCTACATATAAACTAGCAGCTAATTTAAAGATTTCTCATGCACAAAGGCAACATATTTTCCTGTGATAATGTAAAAACCTAATTAAAATATCCAGTAAATATGCACACAAATTTAAGAATTTGCTGTTGTCAGTTAAGCTTTAGGTGATGTGAATGGCTTCTGTATATGTATTTCTAAGGTGTGTTTCTTGTTTTTCTTCTGTCAGATGTAGTCCTCAGCTCTCGCGGCAGACTCATCATTCCAGAGATTTGTTGCCAAGCAATGGTGAGTTCAGTAGCACACATGCTCTGTACAACCAGAATGCTGCGGATAAGAGAAGAGGAGGAGTGGGAGGAAAGAGGACTGTGGAAATATCAGCTGCTTCATACAGCCAGCAAAGAGATTTTACAGCAGAAATGAGCACGGACTGGACTCACAACAGTGACAGTGAAGCCATAGAAGAGCTTTCTGAGCAAACAGCTAAAGCTTGCACTGTGAAGGATACCAGAAGGAAGACCATGAACTCACAACAGCCTAATTCTGAAGGAGACCAGGATATCCACATGAACCACAGGTCAGATCAAATTACTTTAGAAATAGAGATATAAATATTTTAGAAATAGAGATATAAATTTATAAAAAAAAATTAAAAATCATTTGAATTCTGATGAAAGCAAATAATATGATAAGAAATTAGACAAATAAATAAGATAAAAATGCTTATTGTTTTTTCACAAAATAAAATTACACATTGTAAGAATGTATATTATGAATTATATTATATTATCTTATGAAAAGATTTGAAATTTAGTAGTGATGACACACACACACACACACACCCAGAGAAAGCGAGAGATAAGCGCTCTCTTCACAAAGGTATGTCCTTTTTTTTCTTCGTAGGGTGCTGAGAAATGGAGAATGCTCACAGACAATCTGCCACAGTCTCAAAATCATCAAAAATATTGGTGAGTTTGACAAAGGGTGAGAGTAGTGCATATATTACACCCACCATCAGAGCTATTGCTAGAAAACCCTTTTGTATTTGTTTCTATATTATGGCTAATATAAGCAGTGGTAAGTCACACCATTCATGTAAGCTCTCTAGCACTTTACTAATTCAATAATATGCATGATAAAATCTTCCTGTATGTAGATTCAGATCGCTGACTGGTTAAGCAATTTTGTGCCTCATATAGAGTTTCCTGGATTGATAGACTACTCCACACAGTCTAATTCACTTTGGATGATTTTTACAGGGATTAGTAGAAACTTACTCATGATGGCAGCATTTAAGAATATAATAAACAATTCTAAATCTTAAATGAAGAAGAGGAAGCCTGAAAATTGACTAAGAAGTGGAACAATACAGTACACATAGACCATATGTTTCTCCAAAGTCTGTGCATTAATTTTTGCTATGTGTGAGACTGTACTTTCACCCTGCTCTTATGTAATTCAAGTCCAGTTCTACACCCACAAAAGTAATCTGCAGTATATGACTGAGGAAGATTACACAACATGTTCCAATTTCTGCACCAGCAAACTTTCAGCCCACCTGTGAGAAGCACAGTTTAGCTGTGTTGGGGTGTCTGTAGCTCAGGATGTGGAGAGGTTCATCTTATAATTTGAAGGTTGGTAGTTTATATCCCTGGCTGCTCCAGTCTCCAGTCTGCATGCCTAAGTATACTTGGGCAAGATACTTAATCTCAAGGTGGTCTCTGAAGATATGCTCCTCAAGTATAAATGTGTGTGAATGTTAGATAGAAAGCACTTGGGTGTAGGAAAAATAGTGCTTGAATGATTGTTTGGGTTTGGGATTGATTGTGTGTGAATGTGTGAATTTGTAAAGGGCTTTGAATGCTCAAGCAGAATAGAAATGAGCTATATAAGAACCAACCAGTCCAATTATTAATAACAAATTGTAATTATCCAGAGTTTCTATTAATATTTTGTTAGTATATATTTAAGTTTTTCTAAGGAGCTTGAAAAGTAAGTAAATGGACTTCTTTATGTTTTGTGAAGACGTCTCACCTCTAAACGTTTTCTTCAGTTCTAAAACTTATCCATGGAATGAACCAGTTTTTCTACTTCTTCGGTTTTGATTTTGACCCAGGTATCACCACATATCATATCAACTCAGTAGATAGAAACATAGTTCACCAGGAAAGATACAGGGAAGACTCAAAAGATAATGCACTGAGGAGCATATAAGCCTTAACACTGTTTAACGAGTTTACCAGAAGCCCCCCACACAGTCTGGTATCTAGTGTTTCACTCCCATCACCACCAGGAACAACAACTTGTGATGAATCAGAAAAGATGCACAGGAAAAAAGGTCAGACCCCAAGCAGGGAGAAAAACAGAATAACATAATATAACATGACATAACATAACACTGTTGTCACTCATGTAGCAGGATACTCAGACAAACTGATCCAGCTACCAGAAACCAGAAACCAAACAGCCACTCTATAAATGCATGATGTAACATAGAAGAGCCACCTCAATAGGACAAGACTTAGCTGTACATCTGCAACTAAAGGATAAAGGTCATTCTTTTGAGGATGCCAGTGTTCACATTTTGGACTGAAAACTAAAAGGAGCCATCTATGTCCACTGTGAACAACCATCATTAAACAGCGAGGGTTTGTTATGACACCAACTGTCAGCCACCTACAATGCAGTTTTGAGATCATTTCCCAGGCGCCTCAAACCGCACTCACATCTTAGGTCAGGTGTCCTCAATAGGTCACAAAAAAGGTGGAGACAATATCTCACAATGGTTTCACTTGAAACTTCTGGTGATAAGGGATAACACCCAGTATGGGTTTAAATACCTGGGACTCTCCACCATTTGATTTAGAACTGAATAAGCCTCCTGGATGAGAGGTGTCTTCTCAAAACTTAAAGAAGTCCAGTCACTTTCTTCCAAACTTCTTAGACTATCAAGGCCCGGATGACTGAGAACCTACACAGAAATTTAAAAATGTCATGAGAGTTTGATAATATAACAATACAAAGAGCATGCACACAAAGTAATTTAGACACCCCATTCTCAATAAATATTTGCCTAAATTCTGGATCATGGTTCTATTGATTATTTGGAAACACCGACACATACTAATACCAAAAACAATTCCTGTATATTTTGGTTTTATTTTTATTTAATCTGTAAGTATCTTTGGTGGAATGGTGATTAGCACTGGCACCTCACAACCAGTGAATTGGTCGATAGACTAAATGACAGTTAATTTTGCGATAACTGCTAAAATCATCTTTCAAAAAAATGTACAAATTACCACAGGGGAACAACTTACTGTAAATTAGCCACTGTTAGCCATCCCAAGCAGATGGGACATTAGGCCAGCTGGGTGACAGTGAAGTGTAGCCCTAAACAGAAGCCCCTGGTACACCACCAGTCTCTGCACATTTCAAATTGATTTTCCCTATTCATCTGCTGAGGAAAAAACTCTTTAGCACATGTTTTCTATAAACAGCATTCTGGACTTTCTGGACACCACTCGGGTACCTGAGTGGTGTCCAGAAAGTGACATGGACTTTTTGGGGTCTTGCTCAAGAGTGTGGGGAGCAGAAGATTGACAGCTGGATTGGGTAAACGTGAAGCTCCCAATTTACCCTCACCTATGGTCACAAGCTTTGGGTAGTGATTGAGAGAATGAGATCGCAGACAGAAGCAGAGGAAATGAGCTTTATCCAAAGAGTGGCCGTCAAAAAGCCGCCGTCTCTACGTCAAAAAGGGGCCAGGTGAGGTAGTTCAAGCATCTTACAAGGATGCCTGCTGGGTGCCTCCTGGGTGAGGTGTTCTGGGCATGTTCTTTGCATCGGGACACCTCTGTGTTTCTCCCAGTAAACTGGAGGAGGTGACAAGGGAGAGGAAGGTCTGGGCTTCTCTGCTTAGGTAGTTGCCCTTGTGACCCGACCACACATAAGCAAAAGAAAATTGATAGATGGTTTATTAAAACCTCCAAAACATGACCATCAAGAATTGAGTTTCAGTCTTGCATGCAGCTTCTCCCCTCCTGCCATTTCCCAAGACTATATCCCCATAGAGATTTTGTGTGCTCCCTTACCATAACAAACAAACCAAAAATGAGCAAAAATTGATTTAAGCTTAAAAATGTAATTAGGAAGAACAATACAGTATCCTCAGCTAGGGATGGGTATTGATAAGATTTTCACGATTCCGATTCCATTTTCGATTCTGTTTAACGATTCGATTCTTTATCGATTATTTTTAAAAAGGAGAACACTAAGGTCGATTAGCTTAGAACTTTGTTTTATATCTTCTCTTTGAACAAGATAGAAATTTAGGAGTAACATGGCCTTACAAACCCAACAGTAAGATCTTAAGAGTTCCAGCCTACGGCTCTTCAGTGGGGTGTCACAGGGTCCCCAGGAAAAAAAATTGTAAATGTAAAATATCAAAATAAATAAATTGAAACAGTGGGAACCGGTTCTCAACAAGAACCGGGTTTTGATACCCATCCCTATCCTCAACTGTACCTAAAAGTGAAATGTGGATTATTAAACACAAGGTCTCTCTTCTAAATGACTGTTTGTAAATTATATAAATGCCCCCAAACTCCCAAGTGTTAACTCATTTGATCCTGAATTAACACACTTACCTTTGTCCACCCTAAATGGAAAACTCTAAAGTCAGTTTTATTTGTCGCTATCTATCCTCACTGTTTCTATCTGATTTCGCAGACCTTTTATCTGATTTAGTGGTCAGTTGAGCTAAAACTGAATTATAATATAGGTTTTGTGGTTTCTAACCAATTTCATTTTACAATGATATCTAGAAGTGATGGAATTTTAACTTGTTCTAACAGTGGCATACTATTATAGCACCACACTCAAATTCAGTGAACTCTTTAAAACAACCCTATAACAAATGTTTGTGAAGGCAGACTAAATGGTTAGGTGCTTGATTTTATACACTTGTGGCAATGGGACTAAAGAAACAAGTACATTTTCAGCTTAACTGACTAACCCAGAACTTTTATCCATATACAATAGTGTATGCCTTCTGTCTAGACACCGTATGAAAGAATGGTAATTGAAGCCACTGAAAAAATAAGCTGTATATGCATACTTCATGCGCATTAATCATTTTTTGACTCTTTAGCCTTCCTGTACCAGGAATACCGAGACACCTCCAAGCAGCAGGAGATTGAGCAGCGGCGTCAGCGTGACAACCTTTTTCCTGGGGTCAAGGCAGGGACTATGGGGACAGACTCTGGTGTAATGTCTCCACCAGTGTTACAGCTGCAGCTGAGGAATAGTGCTCAGTCACTGACCTTGTGGCAGAACCTGGAAGCTGTGCAGGCAAGCGGTCTGCTTACTCAGTTACCGCACAAAGAAATTATAATGCAAGAGGTGAGCAATTTTGTGAGGCCAAAAAGTTATTTGGATTGAGTAACGTTATTTATTACAGTAACATGTTTGATTCCAATGACGTCTTTAGAACAACTCCTTGTTTCACAAATGTTTGTAAAGGCAGACTGTATGGCGAGGGTCCTTTATTGCAAAGTGGGTTAAGTGTAACTAGATTATGTCTCTGTTATCTGAATTCACTTACCCTACAATGACAATCAGGATAAACAGTCACATGAAGCTGGTTATGAACCCGCTATATTAATCCAAGGTTTTGATTTTATTCACCTGTGGCAATGGGACTGAAAACACCTGCATTTAAAATTTGAAAGGACTGGCCCACTATGTTTAGTGTACTTTATTAATCATAAACTTGGAAAATCCTTTAGAAAAAATACACTAAGCTCCAGGAAGTGTAACGATATGTACGTTTGACCTTAACAGACTCAATCACAACAGGCACTTAATAAAGAGATCTTAGTATATGTGTGCATGCAAAACAAACCACTAGAACTGGTGTGTGAATGGTTAGATAGTAAAAACACACTGTAAAGTGCAATGGTTAGAAAGGACTAAGTAAAGACTATTTGCCCAACTGGTAGACAGACTGACAATGCTGCTGAGAAACAAATTAAAAGACAGCTGCCCTGGTAGTGATTTGTTTATACTGTATTGAAATTTCCTTTTGTCCCTAGGCCATGTTTGAGCTGGTCACTTCAGAGGCATCCTACTACAAGAGTCTGGAAATTTTAGAGACACATTTCCTACGTAACCCTGTTTTAGTGAACACGCTAAGCCAGTCCGACATGCATTTTCTGTTTTCCAACATCGAGGAAGTGATGAAAGCCAGTGAAAGGTGGGACAGTATATGTTAACCAAAATCACTTTATTAAGTCTTAACTGTGAAGTTTAGCCACACAATATCCTTGAGTTATAGAAATCTCATAATTTTTTCAGGTTCCTGATGGATCTTGAACACCGAATTGAGAAGTCTATTTTGATTCCTGATGTGTGTGACATTGTTTATTACCATGCAGCAAAACACTTCAATGTGTTTATCACATACGTCATTAATCAGGCGTACCAGGAGAAGAACTACAGACGCATTTTGTGAGTATTATATTTCATATGCCTTCTTCATACACAAATAGTTAAATTATGGAGTGTTGTATGAGTCATTTTTTTGTTGTTGTTAGAAAAATATGAATGATCGTAATTTATATTTATTTACACTTATATTTTTTAAAAATTCATTTTTCATAGTGTTTTTGTTTCTGTTAAAACAACACAATATAGTTCCTTCTATTTTTGTAAGCATTGCTGTTAATGATAAATACATGCAGGGAATTAGAGAAAGTTTTAAAATAAATATCATCTGTTAATGTTTTAAGTCTCTGTTAAGCAAGTTTTTGTAATGACAAATGTTGAGAAAATGCACAGTGTTGTTGGGTATGACCAGTACAATGGAAGAAATAATTATTTGATGCCTGATGAATTTTGTAAGTTTGCTTATAAATGAAATCTGTTAATAAATTTTTAATAGAGACAGACAAAATATCAACAAAAAAAAGATGCTTTTACATAAAAGTTATACATTTATTTGCACGCCATTGACTTCATTAAGTATTTAATCTCTAAGCAAAACATGACTGGGTCAACTTTGGTTGCCAAGTACAACAGAAAGACATTTCTTGTAGTTGGTCACCAGGTTTCAGGAGGGATTTTGGCTTACACGTCTTTAAGGAAAGTCTTTAATAAACTCAATTTAACCTAACCTAACCTAACCCCTAACCCAATTTATAAAACCCAGATTATTGGCTTAATCCCTTTCTAGCTTCTAATTTTTTTCCTTCGTTTTCACTTCTTTCCAGGTAATTGGGAAATTTTTAAGGGGATTCTGGTTTCTTTCTTGCTTTTTTGAAAGTGTTTTTACATTGTCTTAATTAACGGGGTTCATATGTATGTCATTGTAGTGATTTTCAAAATGTGCTCTCCAAATGTTGTCAGTTTGGATAGGTAATGATTGTGGGTTGTTTGTATTGTAGCTTTTCTGCCTATCTCATATCTAATTTTGGTTTCATTTCATATACAAGTTTCATGGGAAAATTATTTTATTTGCTTTATTCATGCAAAAGGCAGTTCATATTTAATTGCATGTAAGACTGCTTTTTTTTCTTCACAATGTTTGGTGTTAGCCATGTATTGTTATTTTTTATTTTGCATTCTTGTTCAAACGTTTAGTATTTTGCATTTAAAGGCTGCAGTTATTGATTTTATGTAGGTGGACACTAAAGGTTTGATGTCATTAGTGACCATATAGGGACCTTATTTGTATCATCTTTGGTAGGGCCATATTTCTTTTGGTTATATATGTCTAAAAAGAGACAGGAGAAAGAGCTAGAGGTGGCAGAGATGTTAAAATTTTTATTGGGAGTGATGAGAATGGACAAGATTGGAAATGAATACATCAGAGGGGCACCTCAGATTGAATGATTTGGAAAGATGCTTTGCAATGAGGAAGGGTGAATAGCAGAAGACGAGAGAGGAGATATATGTACTGTATGTAGTAAAGAAGGATATGCAGAAAGTGGGTATGCAAAAAAGGATAGGAACAGATTGAGATGGAGGCTAATGATTTGCTTTTATGAACCCTAAAGGGTGCAGCTGATTGCTCTTGATTCTAGTATGAATCTCTCTAAAGAACCTCCTTTTAACCTACCATTAAATATGTACAGGCCAAAGACATGTCATAGACATACTGCTGCACTGCCACTTTCCTTATCTCTCAACACATATAGAGATAAGGAGAAGAACATATAGTATATGGAGAACATATAGTATTCAAATAAGCAATGTGTTTGAATGTCCAAGTTCTGATTATGACTGTCTGTCCAGAGACGGAAACCAGCAATTTCGGGACACTATGGCTACACTAGAAAACCATTCATGTGTCAAGGGCCTGTCCTTTACATCTTTCCTCATCCTTCCTTTTCAAAGGATTACAAGGCTCAAGCTTCTTGTTCAGGTGAGTTTACCAACACTGTTATATCTATCTATCTATCTATCTATCTATCTATCTATCTATCTATCTATCTATCTATCTATCTATCTATCTATCTATCTATCTATCTATCTA